ACGCGCCATACGAGACCGGGCGTGTCTTTGAACGTCTTTCCGTGGCGTAAGGCCATGGAGATGGGCGCGGAGTTGTTAAGGAGAATGCCTTGCAGCATGACGTGATCGGCTGTTTCGCGCTTGGCAATGCGGTCGAAACTCATGTCTGCTTTGAGTAGTTTTGTCTCTGGCCAGCGTGTCGTTAATAAGGCGGAACATTCTTCCAGGCCGCCTAAAGCGTGGAACACGGCATCCGCGGTATGGCCAACGATGATGCTGAGGAAACTCCCGCCGCTCTCTTTCTTGGTCATGAAGTCGTTGGCAGGCGGTTCAACATCACCAGGCCATCCCATCTCGAAAGTCAACGTGGAACTGAGGATATCACCGATGGTCTTGTCCGCGACGAGTTGCTTCATCTTGCGGATGAAAGGACTGGAGCGAGATTGCAGACCGACGATTGTCTTAGATCCGCTCTTCTGGGCTGCGGCGTGCATTTCCTGGGCTTGAGACAGGTTGGACGCGAGGGGCCATTCGACGAAGACGTCTTTTCCTGCTTCGATGGATGGCATCAAGAGTGCGTAGTGTCTGTCTACTCGGACGGAGCAGACGACGAGGTCGACATCTGGGTCCTGAGCGAGATCCTCGGGGCTGCCGTAGGATTTGGTGGTGGAGGGGAGGTTGTAGCGTTTGATAGCTGCTTGGGCGGATGAAACGCTGGAGTTGCAGAGGGCGGTGATTTCGTAGTGCGGTGAGGCCAAGAGGTAGGGAAGATGAGCGCTGCAGGCGTGGATTAGATGAAAATGGGATTGGGAGTTGGAAATTGGTGTATATACCTGGCTGCCCAGCTGTCTCCTGGACTGGCGGAGATTTCGCCAGTGACGGAACTGAGGCCAATGAGTCCTACTTTGATAGGCATGTTGATGAGTTGAGGATTTTGCTGTTGATGAATGTGCTGTTGTAAGGTGATGATGATGGAATGTAAGATCTATCCTACCAATGATGGATATATAAATCAACAGAGCGGTGCCGTTCGTCCGTCCGGTTCCAACATAACTAGAATCTAGATACATGGCCAGGACCGTTGCAAGGCACGCAATACGGTCTATACGGTGGTACTAACTGATAGTCGCATGGAGTACGTAGTGCGGAGTTAGGATATTGTTGCTACATGTCAGGCTAGCCAGGGTACGATTATGTACTTTCTGACTATCTGACATCTCTGACATGTCAACGCAACAACAGCGCCCGACTTGTCTCCACTGGATGTCTCAAGAAACCACCGCGGAGGGTTTCTTCTCATCTATGCTGAACCTAATAAGTAGGACTAGTATGTCTGTCGGTGCCAGATCTCGGACGAGTAAACCGGAAGATCCGGTGGGTACTTAGCGGAGTGGATTTACTCCGCCGATGAAGGAAAATCGCGTTCAGTATAGCCGCTCAGGAAGTGACAGACATTCAGATACTCGGCATTACTACGGCTCTTTCAGTCATAGAGGTTGCTGTGCGAAAGCGCCACGCAGGTCGTAGGGACTTCGAGGGCAGGTGTGTTCGGCTAGCATGAGTAGTCGGCCCGACACCTTCCCCTCATTAGTCATCTGAACGCGCCCGCGTCTGGGGCGCGTCCTTTTCGTGCTTTTCCGTGTGCTCTGACGTAACTCGAGCACCACGAAGGAGCCTTCTCCGTGGAAACGTACCATCGTTTTCCAGCATGGCTAGGTAATGTAAAGCTGCATGCCACGATGGTGGGCGCTGGTGCTGAACCAACGTCATCGGCTCTCTACGTCACGCACCCACGAACCTTCCAATACATCGTCTCAAGTCACAATAGGTTGTCTAGATGAACACAATACGCAACGCGATGAGTTCCGGTGCAGCGCGTAAACATCTCAGCAATGTATTCTCTTGGATCAAATCACCCTTCATCGTCGGAGCGCCGATGCGCGTCATGTCTGGTCCGCGCCTAGCTCTTGCAGTGTCCAAGGCAGGTGGCCTAGGATTCATTGGGCCTGGCGCGAAACCCGAAGATACCGCTACGGATCTGAAGAAATTGCGCAAACTGCTGAAGGACGTACCAGGCTCTACTTTCCCAGACGCAGATCTGGCTGGAAAGCGATTACCGGTGGGTGTTGGATTCCAGCTCTGGAATGGGGATCTCAATTCAGCAACCAAGGCAGTGAAAGAACACCATCCTTGCGCTGCTTGGCTGTTCGCGCCTCGACATGGGCAGGAAGAGTTGGATGAATGGACGGCTCGCCTCCGGGAGGTATCACCTGATATGCATATCTGGATCCAGGTCGGCACACTGAAGGAGAGTATAGAAGCTGCAAAAAGCGACCATCGACCAGACGTGCTAGTCATCCAAGGCGCAGAAGCAGGAGGTCACGGAAGAGCCACAGACGGCATGGGCATCATGACGCTCTTCCCAGAAGTCGCAGATGGCATCCGCGATTCCGGTATCTCACTGATAGCTGCTGGAGGCATTGCCGATGGCCGCGGTGTAGCTGCTGCACTTGCTCTTGGGGCACAAGGTGTGGCTATGGGTACGCGCTTCCTTGCATCTACTGAAGCGCGGATCAGCAAAGGCTATCAGAACGAAGTTGTACGCGCTACGGATGGTGCTCGGAGTACTACCAAGACTATGCTGTACAATCATCTGCGAGGTACAGTGGGCTGGCCAGAGCAGTATAGCCCGCGCGGTATTGCGAATAAGAGCTGGCATGATCACCAGGCAGGTGTTCCGTTTGAGGAACTGAAGAGGCTTCATGGAGAGGCGGAGAAGTCGGGGGATGCAGGGTGGGGTCCTGAGGGGAGACTGGCTACGCATGCTGGGGCTGCGGTAGGGCTTGTGCATAGCGTTGAATATGCTGGAAGCTTGGTTAAGAGGATGCAGGACGAGACGAAGGCGATTGTACAAGGGCTACACGCTGATGTTTAGATGGTCACAACGATACTGCCGATGCGTTTCTCAAGCATACGGCCATTGCTATGTGCTACCTACCCTCTACATGAAGAAAGTCTCCGATCTCTTCAGTTCGATGGAGCGTCCTCATCAGCTTCTGCGGGCTGAGATTCGTAGCCTGCTTGGTTCTCCGTCTGCACAACCCCAGAAGAATTCCTCTGCTCCGAAGCAGAATCCCGTGTCTGCTCAGATGCAGAACTATTAGCCTGCCCGGACGCATGGGTGTGTGTCTGCTCGGGTGAAGTATTGCCCGGCTCCTGGAGTGCAGGACTGCCAAACAGCTGACGCCATGAATCCTTCGTCAAGTTCAACACCGCTTTGTTTTTGATCCTGTTCATGATTATCGCTGCATGCATCTCAATCACAGTTTTTTGAGGTCCTTCATATGCTGCTAATCATCAGTTCATACCGCATATCATCTTCCGCAGGAGACTTACTATCCGTCGAATCGAGTATACCGGATGCAACGCAGTCGCCGAGCATACCGATAAGTATACCAACCCTGACGTTCCTTCTCCAAATCTGATCCTTGCCAGGCTTCTCATCAATAAGCTCCCAATGGTCAGCAAATTTGTGCATAAGCTCCCCTGTGCTCACTAGAGTACATAAACAAGATTAGCATGGAGTCGAAAGTCTTGGGCTTACTGGGGTGTCACTCACACTCGCTGAAGTCAACGTGTTCCTCATAGTCGAGATACCCCCTTAACCAATCCAAATAGTCATATCTGCCCTTCAACGTAAGGTCGAGCTGTAGGATTCTACCGATGATATGGTCGAGCTGCCCGTCAGTTAGCTGCTCTACGAAGCCGTCGCGAGCATTAACAAAGCATGGGAGATCACTCATGTTTACGGCTTCCGTTAGACTGAGCAGTGTGTCTACGAAGGCTGTGATGCGAGCAACCTTGAGGGGTGATTCTGGGTCATAAAATGTCGTCATCTTGCGCTGCGCGATATGATTGAGCGAAAAGGGGATGCTAATCGTATTAGTCGCTTTTAAGTCTGTGTGATCGTTCAGGCTTGCTGAAATCATCTAATCACAAGATCGAATCAACTACAAACCGTGGACATGTGGGTTGCCTCAATTGAAGAATGCAGGCAGTCGGCTCTTTGAACGACCTCAGGATGCCACTGTTATGTTCAGGTTGAAAGGCAAAATCTCCCATACACGAACCGCGTGAGGCATAGACTGACTACATACATCGACATTCTAGGTGTGATATCAGGAAATCAACGATTTAGAGTAGCGAGATACGCCGCTACGAGGGATAATCAGGAATTTGAACATAACCCAAACGCCATTCTAAAATCTGAGTCAACAGCCCCGTGATGTTCAAGCATGTGCCGTTGCTACGTGTTAATTACCTCCCATTTCAAGAAAACCCCCGTTCTGTTCGGTCCGCTTGAGAGTCGTCATCGGTTTCTACAGAAGGATGTTCGTAGCGTGCTTGATGCGCAGTCGTGGAAGTGTTCTCCTGCCCTGATGTGAAGTTAAGCACTTGCTCTGATATCAAATTCTTTAATTGCTCTAACGTTGGATATCCAGGCCGTTCAGATCGGCTGAGATCCGAGATTCTCCTAATGACCTCGTCGGACTGTGCGGGTGTTAAATGCCATATGAAAGTGGCGCGAGCGTGATTAAAACATGGCTAATCGCTCGTCAATGTGGCTTCCGTCAGGCTTGTGAGTATGTTCAGAGCTGCTGTGATGTCAGAGTCACTGAGAGATGGGTCTGGTTGGCGATAAGTTGTCATCGTACGCTCTGCGATGGGGTAGACGGGCGTGAGAATGACCATATAGTCGCTTTTTAAACTCTTAGGGATCGGATAGGTTTGCTGTAGCCATCGTATCACATGCTCGATTCGATGGAAACATGGAGAATCCAAGTCGTCCCCAATCGAAGGGTGTAGAGGCCTGACTGTTCTATGAGAGCACTGTGGTAGCAGTTGTGTGATGATATGAAATATTCAACGGATTTCCATGCCTCTATGTGACCAACAGCAACAAAGATCCGGATATTGTAAGTTACCCAAACGCCATCCGAGCATCTGAGCCGACACACTCATCAATAGTCATACCCCCACCCACTCTGCCCAACCCTCCCCACTCCCTCCCCATTACTCAATGCCCTCGCAACCTGAAACCCCTGCGTCAGCACGCCCACCGCATTATCCACACCAACATGCCCACTCCTAAACGTCCCAGGCACAGGCGGATCCTCACTCCTCTGCATAACTGCCCTCATCATCTCCTCACTCGCCTCGCCTTCATATCTCTCCAACACCAGTCTCCTTATCGCCACATGCCACTCACCCATCCACTCCCCCTCACTAATAGTCGTGTACTCCTTCCTCCCCATACTATTCGTTCGTGAAAATGGCCATTCAGCTCTAACGACGCTCCAGCGCCGCGTCGCGAAGAACAAGATAGGCCAACTGAAGATCCACAGGAAGGTCAAGTAGAAGATCCATCGCACCCATGTCTTCAGCCTCCAAGCATTCACACGGTGGCTCGTGTAGAAATCGACGTTTGCGTCTTCGACAGGGAAGGTTATGGAGATGTTGCCGCGGTAGTTGGTCGATCGGATTATGCCTTCGATGCGGCTGCGCAGGTATGCTTCATCCAGACCTGTGACGTCGCGCCGCACACGGAAGATACGAAGTGCGCGTGGGGAGGCGCAGTATCTATGGCACCACTCCGTCAAGCTCGGTTTCTGAGTCCCGCCCACCTCAATATCTTGCTTTGCGCCCGGTGCCCTACACTTGAGAATCGTGCCGCGGTGCGTTTTCTCGCTGTTCTCAGCTGTCGTGAGGGACATGGTGCCGAAGTTGTTGGCAATGTAGTGCGCATGGATGTATTTGGACAGGTTTATGACAAGACGGAAGTCAGTTATGGTGCGCGACTTGGTCTCGTTATTCTTCTTGGTGGTTTCGCGGTGCGTGCCCATTATGTAGATGAGGGGTGTTGGGGCGGCTTCGGCAAGGAGGCGGATGGAGTTTTCGAGAGCGGCGGGGTCGTTGTCGTAGAGTGGGTCTTGGACGTTTATCGTGGTGTTTACGACGGGGTTTCCGTTCTTGAAAGAGGGTTTGGCGTGGTTCGTTGATGTGGTTGGGGGCGCGATGTGGTGGATGGGGATCAAGGATGCGGGTACATTGCTGGTACCTGCTTCGCTGTCGGTGTAGGAAGGCGGAAGGCCGGAGATTTCAGGCGCATCGTCGTAGGTGTAGTCGTCGGGGGTGGTGTGGAGGGAGACGGCGTCTGGGTCGTCCCGGTAGCTGGGTGGGGGGTCGGAAGGTCTACCCATGGTGTAGATTCTCGAGTGTGCGGAGAAATACTAAAAAGAGATGTAGAGGACTATGAGATGGATATCGCGATTGAGATTAAGAAGGAAAGACGATACTTGGGTGTGGATGAGGCGTTCAAGGGGCCGGTGAGGCGGAGCAGGAGTCTCAGCCCTCTCCAGGCAGCCACTCACCCATTGGTCTAAGCGGAACCACTATGCACGCTTTGGAGGTTGTTTGCTGCATGTTAATGTTGGTATATCGATAGCACCATTCTGTGCGCCGATTCATTAGTTTCACGACAATGTGCATCTAGTATACTCGCTGTATATATTGGGTAGTGATAGTCGTGACAGGCGACGCGGAGAAGTCGCGCGGTGACGCTAAATTTAAGCTTAACTCCGAAGCCAAAAATTTGGAGCTCGACGCGACAGAACCGTGGATGCGCCGTGACTCTTTGCTCAAGCCACAACTATCGCCGGATTTAGATCGACCTCCACACTCACCTCCAATCTGGCCTCCATTCTAATCTGGACACGCTGCTCACGCGCCTTCCGAGTCCCTCCACGCCTTCCCCGCAGAGCATGGGCAACCAGTAGCTCTTTCCCACGCGCATTCCACACCTCCCTCACCATGGCTTCCGACGTCCCCATGACCGACGCAACTGTGCAGACTATTGATGCGACCCCGCAAGCCGACCAACATATAAGCCACGACGGCAAAGAATACACCACCATCAAGGAAGGCCTCGCGCATATTCTCGTCCCCCATGACATCCCCACGTCCACCGACCCAAGGCTATCCAAGGAGGAACATGCAAAGCAACAAGTCTTCTACAACCCCATTCAGCAGTTCAATCGCGATTTGACTGTACTTGCGATCAAGACGTTCGGCCTGGACTCAATACAACGGAAACTGAAGAAGCACGAGCAATTCAAACAGAAGAGGGAACGCACGCGACAGCGGATACAAGCGGAACGGGCGGCGGGAGATACTACGAATCGTGGGAATGGTGAGACTGAGGCTCCTACCACAGATGAAAGTCTGTCCAAAAAGAGGAAGCATGTAGAGGCTAATGGTGAAGAAGGTGCGGTCCACCCAAAGAGGCAGAAGACATTAGATAAATATGGTGCCGCCGAGCAAGAAGAAGAAGAAGGTGAAAATGATCAGGACGACGCTACTGGTGCGAATGGAGGACGAACGCCTTGGAGACCTTCCTTCCGTATCCTCGATGCCCTATCCGCGACCGGTCTCCGTGCCCTACGTTTCGCGAAAGAGGTCCCATTTGCAACCGCCGTTACAGCAAACGATATGTCACAGAATGCTGTCGACTCCATAAAGCTCAACGTAAAGCACAATAAACTCGAGGAGACAGTAACAGCAAACACTGGTAATGCGATAGCCTACATGTACAGCTATTGCGACAAGAAAGGCTACGATGTCATTGACCTTGACCCATACGGCACTGCCGCTCCCTTCATCGACGCGGCCATACAAGCCATCAACGACGACGGATTACTCTGTGTAACGTGCACCGACTCCGCCATCTTCGCGTCACACGGCTACCTCGAGAAGACCTACTCGCAGTACGGTGGACTGCCATTCAAGGGCGAGCCCTGCCACGAAGGCGGGTTACGCCTGGTTCTACACGCCATCGCAACTTCGGCCGGTCGATACGGCATGGCTATCGAGCCACTACTGTCTCTCTCCATCGACTACTATATACGAGTATTCGTACGAGTGCGCAAAGCGCCCACCGACGTCAAGCTTCTCGCCGGCAAAACCATGCTTGTCTACCATTGCGAAAGCGGCTGCGGTGCGTGGACTACCCAATTCCTTGCTCGGAACAAAGTCCTGAAGAATAAGAACGGTGATCCAATGTACAAGCACGGCTTTGCACAAGGGCCCTCCGCGGACCAACACTGCGAGCACTGCGGCCACAAGACCCACCTGTCAGGACCAATGTACGGCGGGCCGTTGCATAATGTCGGTTTTATCGAAAGAGTACTAGCGCAGCTAAACGAAGTCGACAAGCAGACATACGCGACAACGGATCGCATCGAAGGAATGTTGCATACAGCATTGGAGGAAATTACATTTGGCACCAAGCTGGACAAGTCAAATGGAGGAAAGACTCAAGTGCTAGATCCCCTCATTCCGAAGTCCGATCCTGCAGAGGTGGACCACCACCCCTTCTTTATCATTCCAAGTTCGGTAGCGAAGATAGTTCACTGTTCAGCGCCGCCGTTGGCGGCCATGCGTGGTGCGCTACGACATGCGGGGTTTAGGGTGACGATGAGCCATTGCAAACCTGGCTCCATCAAGACCGACGCATCGTGGAAGGACATTTGGCACATTATGCTCGAATGGGTGCGGCAAAGAGCGCCGCTGAAGAATCTGCCCAAAGCAGGAAGCCCAGGCGCCGCCATTCTTGCAAAGTCCAACGCAACAGGGTACACAAAAACGTCAACTGCCGACATAGCACCTGCTCAAGTACCGGCCGATCCGGCGCCTGAAGCGCAAAGCAATGGAGAAAACAGCGGCGATGGTTCGGCGACGACATCCGCAAAAGATCTGCCAGCTTACCTCAACACCAAGTTCGAGGTCAACTTTGACGAGAAGCTCGGCAAGGATCACGACAGGGGCAAATACGTCCGCTACCAGCTTGCGCCCAGGGAGAATTGGGGTCCGATGTCGCGCGCGAAATAATTCAATCATCAGCGAATAATACCAGTTCCACTATTGCATCCCAGCTCGCACGTTTATCGCTCCACAAACTGCATGTGCGCTGTGCGTTGTGCGTTGTTGTCCCGCACCTCTCCAATAATCATCTCGCGTGGCACCCATGATGTTCGCCGTTCGTCAAACATCGGCGCGCGTTGCGCAGATCTAACGTCATCGTCGATGTGCTTAGGTAAGGGGTAGACATGCAAGCTGCATCGGTTATTCCATCTTCCTTGTCCATATCGCAGATGCACGTTATTTTTTCGGCCAAAGCTTTTCCACATCTACGATCCACATGCTGCAGCATGCATGGAGCGCGCTCACATGGCCGCATCGGTAAGCGGCCAAGCGGAGATGAGCCTGCTTCTGTACCTGCAGATTCTGATGTTTACCCGAGCTTGAGGTGCGATTTGGCTTACTGGGTTGGCTTGGCCACGCGAGGCTGCCGCTCCGCGGGGGCGAGTATCTGGATGTACGGGTCGAGATTTCTCAGCAACAAATGTAGACCGGGTGTATGCTTAAGCGTTGAGCTACTCCCAAAGAGCACTGGCGACATCGCCGAAGCCTTGGACGGAAGCCGGTTTCGTTAATTGTCGCTGTTGATCTCTTGCGGGGCGGGAGCACTAGCGGCTCAAAACTTAAACGCTCCACCATGTCATCACGTCGTCACGTTGTCTGCACGCGGCAAATCGTGGAAAACACGCCCCCTGTACGCACGCGTTCACGCAGTGCCCAGGTTTTCCCAACAGGCATTGAGGTGCACTGAGCAGGCAAGATTCAGCAGCGCATCTTCTGATTCGTCCGAAATGTCTTCCCGATGCCAGTCCCGAGATTCCCATGTCGTGGCCGACTTTTCGATATCTGCGGCTTGCACTACCGCATCCGTCCAGTCATGAAATCATAGCTGTTAAACCTATTTCGGCAGCGACGCTTGTGGTCATCGATGTGAAATCAGTAGGAAGTAGCGTTGACGCGATGCGGTCACTGATGCGCGATGCGCGTATATAACCATTACAGACGCCGTCCATCGTCCCAACCGCACAACACCTCGACCCGACAATCGATTTCAAGATGTTGACCAAGAGCCTCTTCACCACTTCGGTCCTCGCGGCTTTCGCTGCTGCCGCCCCTGCGCCCCAGGACGGCTACAGCGCTGCTAAGCCGACTGAAGATGTCCCAGGCTACACCAACGCGGATGCCAGCTTCTCCGTTACCTTCACGCCAGATGCCACACCCGCTACGTCCTTCGGCTCTGCCTCCCAGGTCGCTGCTATTCCCACCGCACCTGGCTCAGCTCCTCCCCGCAGGAGCTCAGATGTCACTGGCGCCACCAGCCATGGCCCATACGATGGCACTCCCACCACTACCGGAGCTGCTAAGGCGCCTACCACCATTGGCACTGCCATCGCTCCTCTAGGCCCGGCCCCCACGGCTACCTACTACAACACCAACGGCAAGCCCCAGGACCCCATGCCCATCCCCTACATGCCAGCTGGTGGTCTCGGTACCAACGGCACCGAGCCTCGCTACATGGTGAACAGCGACTTCGACTACGAGTCCATCACCCTCGGTCTTTACCAGGAATGGATTGAGCTCGACCTGTTCAACAACGGTCTCGCCGTCTTCTCCGCACAGGACTTCCTCGACGCTGGCCTCACTGCTGAGGACCGCGCCTACATTGCCTTCATGGCCCAGCAAGAGAGTGGCCACGCTACCCTCCTCAGCAACATGCTCGGCGAGACTGCTCCTCCCCAGTGCACCTACAACTACCCCTACCGCACCGTTCGCGAGTTCATCGACTTCAACATGAAGCTCACCCGCTTCGGCGAGTCTGGTGTCTGGGGTTTCCTCGCCCACATGGACGCCCGCGAGGTCGCCAACCTCCTTTCCCAGTCCATTGCCACGGAGGCGCGCCAGCAAATGTCTTTCCGTCAGATGCTCGGCCTTGCCCCCATGCCCGTCTACTTCGAGACTGGTATCCCCCAGTCCTGGGCCTGGACCTACCTCGCTCCTTACATCAGCTCGTGCCCCGAGAACACCACCCGTCTCGCATGGCAAAACTTCCCGGCTCTGTTCATTGACAACCAGCCTAACCCCAACCGCTTCTCGCCCAACGACACCAAGCCCCACGAGGTAGCTGGTGACCGCGTCGCCGACCCCGCTGACTCCACCATTGACCCCGACGAGTCCTGCGTCAACGTCAACGGCACCGAGCACCCTGGCTACTCTTGCGGCCCCGCCGTCGCACGCAACCGCACTCAGCCTCTCTCCTTCCCCGGCAAGCTTGTCAACCTCACCTGGGAGAACCCCGGTCAGGCTGTTGGCCCCAACAACTCTTACATTACCGACACCTCTGCCGGCGCCCCTGCCTACGTTGCTTGGGTCTCGCAGTTGAACCTGACCTACACTCCTCTTGAGATCACTGGCGAGAACACTGGATTCACCTACCAGCCCGCCGGCGAGGTCTACCAGGGCGAGCCAGCTGTCAACGACACCATGTTCGTTGCTCTGACTGATGCCAACCCCTTCCTTACTCCCTTCAACTTGAGCATGATCAACCCCCACGTTGTTGCTCTTGGTCTGTACCAGGCCGGCTAAGTTTGTGCCACTAGAAATGAGAAGGTGGATGTCATCATGCTATTGTAGCATTGTGGACATGTAAAGTTAGTGGATGAGGCCTATGAGCCATGTAATTAGTTGAGAGGACGACGATGTTGTATGATAGCTGGTGGATGGATGATTGAGAAAGAAAGTAATGCGTAATGATACCAATTTGTCATCATCAAAAGATCTTTGGAGTTTGTTCATGTGATGTACGACATTTGCCTAACTACATCGCTTCCCACTGACTTCGGTTCTGTGCGCTTGGCAGGGCATATAAAAGCTGACTTTCTCCCCATCTTTCATATCTTCTCATCCTCCATTCAGACCCTGGTTCTGATTTCCAAAATGCATTGTGTGTAGACACATGGCCGTCTCTGCCCCCGCTTCCTCCTTCAAAATTTCCGAATACACGTTCCATGTGTCCAGACAGCCAACGTCTAGCAATGCATGTTTGCCGAAACTTCCAAAATTTACAATGGCAATATACATGCTTGTCTGTGACCCCAAAACTCTCGGTACACCTACGTATGAGCGCTGCGCTCGCCCCTTCAGAAACACCATCAAATCGTTCTATGTCTCGGGTTTTCCATATAAAACTGCTACGACAGCGCGCTTCCACTTCTCCTCTTTACTTCTCTCACTCCAACAATGTGAGCTCAAAGTTCCAAAACATCGAACGAAAAGAGGAATGTCCGTCCCTGCCTTCTCTGATGTTCCTCAAATTGCAGCGACCGTCGCGTTGCTTCATCACCAAAACACGTAGCCGACATACGAATGTCTGCACCAAATCCAAAACTGTTTGAGCCGATGGCGATGAGAGCTGTGCGGTCGGTCTTTTCACGGCTTGTCAAAATGAGACTTGTTCTCCAGTCCTTCATATAAAACCGCCTACTACTCTGCGCCTCCAAACGTATTCTCCAACACCTGCAGACAAGCCGCCAATTATTCCAAAACTTGACGAGTAGACTTTCATGTTCGCTTCTGGCTTTTCGCCTTCTTTTCCATCAAAAGTTCTTGCGCAATACGATATGTGCGAATAAAACTCCCCAGAGACCTTCCACATGTTTGTCCGAGAACAAACATTCCACACACTTTGCGATGGGAGTCGTGTGCTCGTCTTCCTCGAAAAAGCCACCATTTTCTCATATGGTGCTTCTCTTCTTTGTATCTTAAACCATTACCGCATTCCTCTCTTCTACCCCGAAATCTGAGATGCTCCCGAACATGATTCCTGGTTCTCGAAAGCCTCGACAGAATGAGGCTATGGGCGGTCTGCTCTCATCTCATGGCAACGAGATCATACCTAATCATCCGGCCGCTGTGTCTTCCAAAAACTGGTTACTACGCTCCTCTATTCCACTCTTAAATACCTTTGCTACCAGCAATGATTCCTGGGGTTCCCAAAAAGTCAAAAATCGAAGTAAATGAACTTTCTGCTCTCCTCTTGTGTTGCTAAAATTGTACCTGGTTTTCCGCTACGTTTCATACCATAGTTTTACTAGTTTCCTCTCTTCTCTTTCTACAATCACTGAGCTTACATCTATAAGACCTGGGTCTTCAAAAAGGTGATATTATGAACCTATGTGCTCTTCTCTCCTCTTGTGTTAACGGAACTCCCGTAACGGCGTTTGCGCGATGTCACTAAACTGCGCTTCTGACCCCTCGATGTCCGGTCGTACCGAACCAAAATATCCCACGTGCATGGACATGAGAGCTGTGTGTTCGCAATCCAAGAAGCTTCTTAAGGCCCTGCTCTGCATCTGACCTTCCGTATAAAGTGTCCATGAGACTGTCTTCCTTCCTTCCCTCCTACCTTCACGTACTTCAAAACTCGGGAAGTGACCTCCAAAATCATGCTGTCGGCTCAAAATGGCCGTTCCTGCTTCTTTCTCGTGTTACAAAAGCTCCGCAAAGATGCGATCTTTCTAAAAACCAAAAAGTCGCGCAAACCCAGACGATGTTCTGCGGAGTCCAAAACACCAGCAAACCCTAAAATGAGAGCTTTGCCCTCCCCCTTGTTAGACCTTCTCAGCAATTATTGCTTGGCGTCTGGCGTTCCACATAAAGTGCCCACCAGACTATCTTTCTTTCTCTCTTCATACATTCACGTACTCCAAAACGTAGGAAGTGATTTACAAACACCAAGTCCAGAACACCATGTTCGCTTTTCCCCCTCTTCTGTATGGCATCATATGCGCAGCAGCAATATGTTCAACACACCAAAAAAGATAAAGAACTGGATCATGTTCTGCGAAGTCCAAAAAGAAAAATCAAGCTATGTATGAGGATCGCGGTTCGCCTTTCCCAAGTCCCTCTAGCAAGTGTTTTCCACTTTGCAAAGTCGCTTGTAAAACATCTACTGTACTACCTTTAGTTCTGCT